TAGTAAATTAATACAGTTTTGTAGTCTTTGATTATGTTGGATGTTTTGCCTAGACTGTTGTAGACTTCGGGTCCAGATATCTGGGGATTAAGAAATCATTAAATGCTGATATTAATTGTTATTAATACTAATTAAAACCAGCTTGTACTTGAAGTCTTAAAGTGCATGCAGTCAGTGTAAATGAAAAAAAAAAAGTAGACAAATTACTTTTGTGTCACATGTTTTCAGACTTAATACATTCTGAGAATGCGTATGCTGAATGGTTGCCAGGTTGTTTTTTTAATTACTCATTTGTCTTTGTTGGCTGACCTCTGCATCCCCAATGATTCACTAATGCTGGATCTAATTTCTTATATTTTTACTTTCCTTTACTGATAGAAGGAGCACATTACATTTCTGACATAACTTAGGCCTTGTAAAATGAACCAGTGTCATTATTAATGGATTTCATCAGCCAATCTAGTGGCTTTAGAAAATGCCAGCATGTACTGAGTACAGTGCAGGCTTTGCTGTCTGCTTCATATGCTTTTATGGTCAGATTTAACTGTAAACTAAATCACTGTGGATGGGAATGATGGGAAGAGTATGCTTTTGAATAATTTCAGCTTTTTTACATGTAAGTGCATGTATGTTTGTTTGAGGATTTTATATGAAGATCTAGGCTTTGTTCACCCAAATGCAGACAGGCAAGTAAAGGAAGCCGCAGGGAGTGATAGTTCTGCAATTCTACAGTAAGATACGAAATGCAGTTTTATTGGTTGAGCTTGTGAGGTTTTTACTTGATAGCATATATAACACTGTGTTAACACACTTCATAGCATGTGTAATGAATTCCATCAGTTTCAGGAATTTGCTGTGCACACCGAATTGAAATCTGTTGATTGCAGTGGAAAGCAGACACTGAGAAGAGTATAACTGAGGACACATGAAACCCCTGTCATCTGTTCAGCAGAGCCACAACTTCAGATATTTTTGCAGTTGTCCGTAGATCAGAAGCTTTGCCAATGTGGTATTTACTTGCTATCTCATGAGGTTTTGCATCATACACTAGACATACCAGACTTAGAGAAATGTCAGGGTGCATTTAGACATCCTAGCAAACATGACCTAAACTGAAGCTTCTACTGAGATGTGTGGTCCCTACCAGGCATTCCTGATATTTTCTTTTCATGGAATATAGTGATCATGTGGCTGCAGTTTGTTTGGATGAAAAGAATAATTTTTTGACTTATCAACCAAGTGAATCAGTTTGACTCTGTGAATTCATGATCTCCAAATGAGTGAGGTGGAGAGAGTGGGGACAAAAAGAGAAGAGTGAGGAGAGGAGTAGGTCTACCAGTTTTGGTGGCAGCTACCTGCTAGATTGACATAGCTGAAACATCAAATTATGTTTGCAAATTGCAGAAATGTATAAACCATATTAGGAAGCATTTTCTTCCATTCCCTATGCTGCTCATTTTCTCCCTTGAGCTATTGTAGCACATTAGTACAACCATACTACGAATTAGATTAGGAAGATATTTTAGCTGTGAAGTAACTTGAGTAAAAAGATTCTTGAGATGGATCACATTTGCATTGCAGTCGCATTGCAGTGATCACAAGAGAATGGGAACAGCTGGACATGCAGTGGGAGCTTCTTATGCAGACATTATTCTTGATGAATTGGATTTCAAACAGGCACAGATGGAGAAGAGTGATACTGGTAGAGAGAATGGGCAAGGAGAGAATGGAGAGGTGTATGGCCTCAGCAGCTCGGGAGGGAGGTGACCAACAGAGCCAGTGTTGAGGGAGATTTGAGATAATTTCTAGAGAAAAGAAAAAGGTCTGAGAGAAGCTGTTTGGGGAGGGTGTGGAAACACTTTGGTGTAAGAGAGAGATGGGAAAATGATTCCATTATTATTAGTAGGAAGGAGGACTGTGAAAGCTCAGTCCTAGTCTGTGAATGGGCTTTTTGGATAGTCAGGGATATAAATGGGCTTCTGGTTTTAGTAAATTTCTACTTACAGAAGCAAATCAGTGATGTGATTAGTTTTCTTTTTTAATGTTTCTTCATAAAAAAAGCAGTGTAATTTAACATACATGGTCAATTTGATGATCTTAAAGTCATTGTGAGATGTTAAAGTTGCATAATAATTTGTCTTTTTGCACAGTAGAGTGATATTTTGTTACAGTTTCACTTAGCAACAGCTGTAATAAGAGGCATAATACTTGCAGTGACAATCCAATCCATTAATTTTTATCCTTGACTTAGGAATAATACAGGGAGTACATTTATGTATATATCATGGTGGCAGGAAAGATAAATCAATAGAGTAAGACATTTTGATAGATCACAGAATTCTTTGAAAAATCAGTGCTGAAGACAACTACTGATGTTTTATACCTTTTACAAAGAATTATTGTTACTTGATATAGCAAGAAAAAAAAAAAAGAGATCAAGAAAAAAATCAGCTGCTTCTCCTTCCTAAATCTTTCTCCTTTGATCAGCATCACTGTATGTAAGTTTGGACTGAAAGGCCTTGGTTGCCAGAAAAAAATAAGATGGGCTCCATCAAGTGTGTAGTGTCAAAAAGTTACATAAGCTGTCATCTATGTATTTGAAGAGGAAGGACAGGGAAGAGGGATAGGAAATGATACAATAAGAATTGCTGAAGTGCTTTCCTTTTTTTTGTGTGCATGTTGGTGGTAGTGTGGGGTTTTTTTGTTTTTTTTTTAAAGGGAAATAAGTGAGGTTGAAGAAAGTGGATTAAAATAAATTTCAGGGTACCGTTTAAAGGTAGAGGGACTACCAGAGAATGTAGACTTTAAAAATTGCATGAGTGTTTCCTTTTCATTGTATGTGCTCTGCAGCTGAGCTGTTTGCAGTAAGTCATAGGGTGCTCTGTGAGCTGTGTTGGTAATATGACTCTGTCTTAAGACCCAAGCTTGCCACTCCATTGAACTACTGCTATCTCCTTCTACACAACTTTTCTATGAACTGGGGCTGTTATTTTCCATTCTGGTGCTAAATCTCTCCAGTACAGGATCTGAGTTTACCACCTGGACTCTGATCTGGCTGATCTGGCGTGTACATGCGCTTCGTAATGGGTGGAGAATGTAAAACTTGTGGCTCTTTGTTCTCTGTCACTTTCCTTTGTGACCCTCCCTGTTGTTAAACCAGTAAAATTGAAATCTTTATTGAAGTATGAAATTGCATTTTTTTCCATGTACTTGTGGTAGTTATTGTATGAAGAAATAGTGCTGTTCTTGCCCTAGCAAACTTTTAAGCCACCGATTTGTAGCTAAATGTCACTTCTTTTAAATTTCTTTTTCTTTTTTTTTTTTTTTGTGACCCTCCGTCCACCCTAGCAAATATGATGCATTTAGTTACACTTATTAATTTAATTTGGTGGGAAAATGGGATGTCAAATATCCCGTGAACGAATGATTGTGTTTACCTTTTGATTTGTGCCAGATTGCCTTTGGATGAAGGTTAGCAATCAATAAAAAATGAAACCTGACACTCTAAAATGGATTAAAATAAAATTGTTAATCATAACTACTTGAGAAGAATATCAAAATAGATTTTACACTTCAAATTAATCATTGAGCTTTGCTGCTTTTTATGCCCCCCATAATTTCTAATTCTGTCCACTATGGATGATTTAATTATTATGTGTAGCTGAAACTGATTTCATCATTTGCCTTAGTTTTCTGCTATTTTTTAAAATTTAAAGTATTTTTCTTTTGCTTGTTCCTATTGAATTTAGACTGTTCTGGTAAATGTAGGCCTTAATATAACTGCCTACATTTTCCATAGTTTTAATAATACATGTTATGTTTTTAGTGGCAAATGTGATAAATTGAACTATAAGTGCATTTGTTTAATTGACCATGATTTATCTAGGAATGTCTCTTTTAGTCTTCTGTTTCCTTTGTTGAGCTGTCTGTAATCTCATATTTTCTGATTCCAAGATTTATTTCTACTGTGCTGCCTGCAGGAAGGTAGTTGGGAATTAATGACAATGTTGAAAGGCAGGTTAGCTTTTTAGCTTAAGGCATACAAGTAAAGGAGTCAGAAGATTATTTCTGTTTCGATTTTACTCTTCATGCTTTTTTAGTTATAAACTTGTGGTGAAAATACTATGTTTTCTTTATGATTTCATGGTAACAGCATACAGTTTAAGGAAAGCAAAAACCATATAACACCAAAACAATTGTAGTTGTACTTCTGAACATGAAAAGAATTATTTTAAAAGACAGTGTAGATTTAAAGTTGATTGTGTTCTTCAAAATGTTTTATCCTGGTTATCCTGAGTCAGAAAAAATATGGAAAATACATTTTCTTTTTTCCCTTTTTATTTATGTGTTCAATTTCATTGTTACAGCTTCAGACTAATTTGTTTTCTGCAGTCATGTCACCTTCCGTAGTGAAGTGGAGAAAGCTATTTAAATATGTAAAACATGACAGTGATGACAGTCCAAAATTCTTCTGTGAAATTTTAAGACAGATTTAAATGTGTATTTTGGAATTCTCTAGGTTTCAGTACAATTATCTTGTGTTTGTAGTTATGATGGTGGATTTTGTTCCATGGATGCTGTTTAATATATCTATATATGTTTTTTCTCTACAGAGAAACAACTTTGTGGGTGCCCTGTGGGGAGATGCATCTGTGACATGGAGTATGTGTTTGGTGATCTACAATCTGAGGCAACATTGTGTGGGCTATATATGACAGAAAAATGACTTGTGGAGACAGTCCAGCTGAATGGCTACATCATAATAAAGAACTGGTTTAAAAATGTTAATGTCTCAAGCCAGTAATCCAAGTTTGGGAAAGCCTAGCAGCCCAACAGTAGAAACAATAAATTTTTTGTAGACATCGGTGCAAAAAGAACAAGCAGTCGATATATATTTTATCATGTGTTCCCTGATTCTTTAGCTTTCATTACACTGAAATCATGGTATGAGGACTGGTGGGGAAGGTCCTCCCCCCGTCCCCAGCACACATCCAGCAACCAGAGACTGTGTCAAGATGACCTCTGAGGAGATGACAGCGTCTGTTCTGCTCTCTGTGGTACAGGGTAAAGTGATAGCTGCCCAGTCAGCTGGAGATGAAAATACTGAAAATGCTTTGGACACCAGTGTTATAAGAAGACATACAGCCAGTTCAGGAAGGCAAACCACACACAATCTGTCTTACTTACACAGACTTGAAGAAGAAAGTCTTCAGGGCTCAGTGCCCAAAATATTCCCTCTGGCTAAAGAACAACTGGCTAACGACAAGAGTAATGAAAACTTCTGGGAGAGGAACAGCTCCATCTCTGATTCAGTGGAATTTCTTAACATTAACTGTAACATTGTACAGAAGAACTACAAGAGCAATATCTCCTGCAGCCAGTTGTATCAATCTTGTGCTCCTCTAGCAGGGGAAGAGGCATGCCTGGAAACTGGAATTCCTGTTTCTCTGGAAAGAGCCATGCTTGCTGAAATTCAGTTGAAAATGAATGGACCTTCATTAAGAAGCCAGACAGCAGTAAATAAGAATGACAGCAGTGATCCTGATAAAGTGGCCTTTTTTCACTTACATTGTGCTAGTGAAAGGAATATATCAAAGGCTTTGTGTGGTTTACACAACAGCTTCCTTTTGGATGACTGCTTGCAGCCCATGAGTGATGGTGATGGTAACACCACTGGTTCCCCAGCCTGCACTTGCAGCATAATGCAGTTGACAAATAATTGTGAGAATAAAAATGGACAGCAGTTGTATGAAGATGCTTTGAGGGATAAGTTCTTATGTCTGGAAAGAGCACCACGAAAGGTTAAAGTGGCATGCTCAGGTCACAACTTCTGTGGAAATAACTTTACTGGAAGGATGCCCTCAAAGCCCTTTCTGAGCCATTTTGAGGACTGCAGTGATAACTGTGAAGAAGAGCTGGAAGAGGATTTTTTTAGAAACAAAAAGGAACGTTCGACACTCTTAATAAGACGTTTCTGTAAAAATGATAAAGAGGTTAAAAAATCAGTTTATACTGGAACAAGAGCAATTTTTAGGACTTTACCATCAGGGCACATAGGAACTGTTGCTTGGAATTATGTTGAACAAAGGAGAAACAACAGTGGCATGAAGTTTTCTAGGATTACAACAGAACAGCTAACTATAATTCAGTCCCTAATAAAATGGAAATTTAATTCCTGTCCTGAGAAATCCTTATGGTATGAGGTAAGCTTTTCATAGTGGTATTTTTGTTTGTTTGGTTTTTTTTTTGTTTGTTTTTTTGTTTTGTTTCCTTGTTTGTTTTGATAACATGATAACCTTTCAATTAAAAAAGTGGCTTCAACTAGTAAATACTTAGTAACACTGAATAGGATATTTCACTTACCCACATTGAACAATCTTATGCTGAACACTGCTTTTTAGAAAAATGTACTGCCATCCTCTAAAATTCTTTTGGTTTAAAATAGCCGTGTGGTAAATATGTCTATAACTATATGTATATAAAATTTATATATATATATGTCTATACATATATATCAGTATAAAAATGTGTGTAGGTAAATATTTATACCTAGATTTATGTATAAATTTATTTCTTGATAAATATTCTTTTTATATAAGAATATATAGGAGATATATATAGATATATATATATATATATATATAAAAGAATATATATAAGAATATATATATATATATATATAAGAATATATATAAGAATATAAGAATATAACACACCTATATACAGGATAAAAAGATAAATGCATTTTATAGATATTTATATTTTAAACAGAAAAGGTATGTAATATACACTTATATTTTTCCATTTATATGATAGGTGTAAAATTATTTATTATAATTCTACACAATTGGATATATATAGCATATATGTATGTATAAACATTTGATAGATAAACTAATAATACAGTTGTTCCATAAATATAAGAAAAGCATTATATATGAGAGTGTTAGATTGCAGTGAAAAATTTATTGCTCAGGAAAAGAAAGCATAGTATTTCCCCAAGTTGAAGGTATTTCTATTTTTTTTACACCTCTTTTACAATAATAAAACAAGTAATACTTGAATAATGTACATTAATGTGGTGATACTGCCCTGGTTTGTGTTCCCTTAAGTTACATAACACAATGAATACTAAGTTTAGAATGAAATCATGAATGTATAAATTATTATTATAAAAATTACATAGCACATTCTTAATATTTTAAGATTTTAAGCACGTTCTTAATTATTTTAAGTAGTAGAAGATTTTCTACGCTGGTGGAAATTAAATAGTTGTTGATGTAATCTGTAAAAGATTTTGACCACTGATTACTGAGCTTAGCAAAAAAAGGAGCTGTAGTTTTCTTCTGTTAAAATGTATGAATAACCATGAGGAAGGGGAAAAATAATCAAGGTAAAAGAGTGTGTTGTCATATAAGCTATGCTTATAAATTGATCCTGAATAAATGGAAATCTCTTCTTCTTGAAGAAATTTCTAGCAGTTATTGCTCAGTCTTCAACAACTTCCAGTAGGACTGAAATGGAAGAAAACTTACATATTCATCTATCATTTACATTCATGTAAGATCACCGAATCCTATGGTAAAATTGATCAAACGAATATGAAATTTTGGCAGTGATAAGGGAAGAGAAGACTTGACTCCATGACAGTTGTGCCCTCCTGTAATAGACTTGTGTCCTTCTAGAAATTAGTATTTTTCAATTTAAATAGTTAATTGAAGAGTTCTATAAACATGTGTATGTCAGGTTTTTTACCAGGTTGCAGAGCTTTGTGGTACTGTTGATTTTGTGAAATTCACCACACTGGTCAGTGGAAGTACAAACTTGCTGGGAGAGCAGATGCAGTGAAGAGGGCATGTTCACTGTCCTATGAAGGGGTGAATATAATTCTGTGGGTTTATTTAACATGGTGTATGCATGGTATGTTTAAGTATCATTACAAATTTTAGGGGGGAGAGATGGGACAGTGTTTTGTAGCTGAGATAGCTGAAGGATGTGTTTATAAGTTTTTGTTGGGCATTGCCAATTTGACGTGAGTTCCTTCGGTTTTATCACACTTGCCTGTTCAACCACTTTCCACCACCGCTGTATAATACAGAGCGTACAGCATTTTGGGGTGGGAGAGCTTTAATCTGAAGATTTTTTGGAGTCTGTTTATATGAACTCAGAAACAAAAGTAATAAGTATTCACTGAATAATTATTTAAATAGAAAAAGTCCTGTCTCCAAGTCAGCAAAAGATAAACAGGGACTGTAAAGCACTTTGCATAACTACAATGCACAGAATGACACATGATCAGAAAAAGTTTAAAACCACATGTTTCTAAGTGTTTCTTCATCCAGATGGACACTAAAATTGTTTTTCTTCTTATCAGCCTCTGTATATAATCTCCTTATGTTCAACATGCATCAAGTTCTCTTAGCATTGTTTTCTTGTTATTTTAGCACAGAATATTGTTTTTGTAATAATATTTGTATGTGGTTATGGCTTATATTATTAGCATTATAGATAGATTTACACAAACAGAAATTAACTTAATGGATGCCACAAATATATGGGCCTATTGAATGTATGCACTGGGTTAAAATAATTGAATGAATTATGGGCATTCGTAGGAATCTTTCATGCTAATAATCAAAGGAAGAAGGAAAAAGTAGTAAATGAATGTGGTAATTTGTTCTTCCTTTCCCCTTATCTCACCCTTTGAGCATGCATTCTGTTTGGAACAGCTAAGTGAACAGTAGTTCTGTTCTTCAAGAGGAAAAAAAAGTTGGAGAAATTAAGTTTTCATAGCAGTACTGGTGCAACATGGAACAATAGAGACCTTTATATTTTAAAGTAGGAAAATGTGGATCTCATTTGTGCATATCCCTTACATAAAAATTCTAGCTCTAATAAAGGAAAGGCACTGAACTGTCGCTTGGTTAAGTGATTTTTTCTTTTTTCTTCTTTTTTCTTCCTCTACATAGGGAGGTGGGCCTAAGAATTTGCACTATATTGAAAATACACGATGTTATATTTTTCTTCATGTAGCATATTATTACTGTTGAGAGGTATTTCATATGCAGATTTAGACTCCTCTGGATTCAATGTATGTTTTGTATGGTACCAGTTTTTTTCTCTAGCACAGGAGAGAAGTGCTTATTACTTTACCCAGTTTTCTCTTCTATATGATCAATAGTTAGAGGATCTCCTTATTAGTACGTCCATTAGCATGTGGTCCAGCAGTTGATCCTCTACATTTATTGACATAAGACTTTATCTTGAATATTTTTTCTAATTTTGCACTTAGTTTTTGTAGCTAAATTCAGTGCAGCATTTCCCCTTATCAGATGGGTGTGTGTAACGTGGCTGTTGTATCTGTTTAGGAGACATCTGCTTGTCTGTGTTGGAACAGTGCAGACCCCTCACATTAGTACATATTAAAGGAGTCACAAGTGCAAAGAGTTTGCCATAAAAGAGATCATGAGAGTGCAGGCTCTGGTGTTGGCTTTGCTTGAACAGATATCCACTGCTTGGATACCTGATACCAGCTGCACTGTGTTAGCAATTGACTAATTCCCAGAGTCAGAGTTTCTGGGATCTGTGAGATGTACGGTTCACAGAGCTGAAATACACTTTGTTTTTAGCTGATATGATGGTGGTTTTGCCGTGGTGGTAATGTGACAAAAGTGAACCTGTCCACCATTGACTAAGATAAGAAATCTGGGCAGCTCACTAGACTTTCACAGAGTGATTCTCTCAAGCTATGTAAGTGACCTCAAGATCTGCAGATGGCAGCTGCAACAACATAGTTGCAGTGCATAATAGCTAAATTCTTTAGTTAAGCTTATTTTGTAGGCGTCAGTACTATCTCTGCTGTGTCATTACATTCCTGGTGCCAGTAGTTTGAGCTTTAAGAAGCAAGAACTCTGCTGCCTTGCTCAACTCTGCTCAGATGGAAGTTAGCACTCTAATATACCTGACATTCTTCATAGTTGCTAAGTTACTGAAATGCCAACGACTAATTAGGCAACAATTAAAGAAAATATTAATTGCTCCATGTCTGTTCCCATGGAGAATAGTGATTCTATAATAGATTTACCTTGTGGGAGTTTTTCATAATTCATGCAATGATGTGGTATAGTAGTTCAGCATTTGTTAGCATCAGGCTTTTGGTCTTTTCCCCTGTAGTGTCCATGGTATTTCTACGACTCCTGTGTTAAATGAATGTCATGCAAAGATTTGTGATATGCATGGCTAATGTAAGGAGTTGTGTGTTAAGATTTCTTTATTTCCATAAAGTTGAGCTATAATCAGTTGGTGGTGTCTGTTTAGAAAAATTTCAGGGGAGAAAAAAGATTTGGAGGTAAAAAATGTTTATTTTTTGTAGACATTTTATGAAAATCTATATTTTAAAATTTTTTTTAATGTGGAATCTAAAATAGTCATCTTGGATAATATTTTTTAAAAAATAGAACTAGACATGAGTTGTTTTCTGTTTAATATATAGTATTTTAATTGTTGTTTATAATTGATTTTTAATTCTTAATAGATTCTTAATTACAGTAAACATTTTGTAATTAATATAAATATTGATTTTAATTTTGAACCTGTAGAGAAATCTCAGTTCCCTCCCTCTGCTGACCTCCTCCCTTCCAGAGCTGTATCAGCAATTCTAGTCAGTGCATGTTTTGTGGCATTTCTGAAAATACAGATAGATTGAGTATTTCACTATCAGTCATGGAAATAGTATCTGCTTAGGCTATTTCAACAACAGTTGCATTAACCAAATGCAGGAGCTTGTTCCTGCAAATGCTAACACATGAAGAAAGGAAGGGTTAGTAATGCTGTGTGTATGTATGAACATTTTTGGATGTTTTTCTCAGGTGTTGAGTTAATTGTAACCTTTAATTGTCAATATTTATCAGAATGAAGAGTGTAACCCTCTTTTATATCTAGTAGTATTTTGGAAGATACACTTTCCCAATGTATTCAAAGCATAATTTATATAACGAAGAGGCCCATATTGATTCTTAAGAAGTGAAAGAAAAACTTGAAAGCATTTGTGTTAGTATGAATAAGCAGCATAGAGTGCCTGTTTATGTGCTGTGTTTCAGTCACATGACTGATCTGAGTTATCAGACAGAGGGCTTGTGGAGTCTCCACATGAAGTTACCTGGACATGAGTCTTATCAGTAAAGTTATTCTGCCAAACTCTCTG